GTTCTTTGTTCTTTCATCCAGGTGTCTGTGCTGCGGTTATAAAGCGAACACTAACTTAAGTCTTAAGCTATCGAAATATTGTTTGGAAGTAATATTTCAGAGAAAGGCTTGATTTTGATAGATTGTTCCAGAGGTCAAAGGTAAGACCAAGTAATTACTCTGTGAAGAGTGGAAGTCACTGGCCATCTGATAATTCTGAAAAAAAAAAAAAATGTTGTGAAGAACACTAACCAAACTTGAGCTGCATGTTTTGGCCTGGCGAACACAAATTGAGCCAATGAAAAGAATATCTTGACTTTGATAATTGAAATTTTCTATGAAAATTGATGAATATATTTCTGCATGGTTTTTGAGTTTTGAGTCAGGACTAAACAGAGCAAAATAAGAGCAACTTTTCAGAGTTTGGGCCTCCTCCTCTCATCTCCAGCAATGAAGAAATGTTCTTCTATACAAGGTGCTGGATTATTTGTCAAGCAGGTGCCCAAACAATCTGAATGTATGTAATATCTGATGACAAAATAAACATATCAAATCCCCTTTGAGCACTATACTCTTACTTTTAAAATAAAGGAGAGAAGTAATACATAGCAATGGTCTGGGGTTGGAAGTTGACAGAGAAAATGGGAGAAGGATATAAAACAATGGGGGGTCAGGCTGGGAGTCACTGAAGCTAATGTCAAGTCTATAATGATGCACTTTTGTGGGAACATGGCTGTGAAAGTTGTTCAACCTCTTATGAAGAAGGAAATGGATGTTGTATCTATTTGCTGGAAGGGCAGCTTGAGACCTTCTCTTCATTATGTACTATCTTCTTTTTATTCCCAGCTCCTAGGCAACATGATATTGATTGTCTTGGCAACCCACTTCAGCAAGGAATTTACCCCGCAGATGCAGGCTGCCTGGCAGAAGCTGACAAATGCTGTGGCTAATGCTCTGGCCCACAAGTACCACTAGTTGCCTGGCCAACCATGTTGGTACCTATCTGAGGGCTCAGTGCCCCAGTACTCATTCCCTGAAGACAGAGGGAAAGAACCCTGATTCCAGACATAACTCCAATATAATACAAATGAAATAAAAGTCATGGTCTGTAATGAATGTCCTTGTATTTTCCATTTGTTTTTATTTTTTTATAAACTGATTCAGCTAAAAGAAAGCATTCTTATTGGAACTGGGAATATTGGAGATTGAGAGTTTGTGGAGGTTATAGAAGGAACGCTAATAAGATTCTATAAGTGTGGCTTCAATGGGTAGTTAATCCTAGGAGGGGAAAGTAGACTCCAGAGGTGGACAAAGTCTTTAGAAAAAGGAAAGAAATGGGGTGACTTTTGAGAGATGCAAAATGATTGCTAATAGTTAGTTGTTAGGACACAAAGTAGGGTTACCTGTATAGTTTGTAATTTGTATAAATTCAGGATAAGAGCTCTTTGGGGGCCTCTTTTATTTAATATAAGAATCATATTTTTAGTAGTTATTAAGTGCAATGAAAATGGTACTTTTTAGACATCCAGTCAAGGGATCTACTCTCAACTTTTTCCTTGCATCTCTAATGGTACAAATGCTATGTTACTCGGGAGCTCTGTGTCCTGGAACACATTTTTAATTCTACTAAGGCTTTGGTAGAGATAAAGTCTATTTATGAGGAAAAATGACAAATTCAAGATTCATCCTGTCAGATCTAATTGTCAGAAGAGAAATTGGCCCTTTAAAAACAGTAGGGTAGTATAAAATTAGAGAATTTACTAGGGAGACCAGAAACATCAGGAAAAGAAGCTATTGTTGCATGTAAAAAGAATCAGTGAAGTTTCTTGCACAGAAGAGTGACATAATGAAGTAGCGAAATTGATCCACGTGTGTGTATAGTCCTGACAAGGCAGAATCTACCCTGAATCTGGGCTTAGGAATTGGCTGTGATTATAATGAAGCGATTGGTAAAGGACTCAACTTGACAGGAACAATGGAACTATGGAAAAAAATACATATATAAGACCATTGTGGCAAAGATGCCTGAAGACCTGAAACAGTGAAATGAGAGTGGAGAAGTCATGGTTGACAGCCAGGTTCCCTGTCTGGTGAATGAGAGGAGGAAATTCCTTGACAGAGGAAGAAAAAACCTAGATGTCTCTTGCTTGGAGCTGGTAATGGGCATAGCCACCTTTGTAAAAATTTTTTTCAAATTTCTGTACTGAAACCACTGTCATAAAGTGAAAAGCCAAAACTTCAGAATTAGCATACAAGGTCAAAGTATTGCTCCAATACCTTGAAACATTTAGTTAATATTTTTTAGAATTAATTTCCTTGTTTGTGAAGTGAGATAATGATCTCTCCCTCACAAATGATCTCTTCCTCCCCTACCTCTAAGGCTCCAAGGAGATGTTTGTAAAGTGTGTTGCCTGTCATTTTGCAAAGGTAGTGGTAGTGGTTTATATGATGTACTATGATCTAGTTCTCTGTGCCCGGTTTCATTGTATATTCTTGAATTGATTACATTGTTTCTGAGCTTCATATCTAGATATCTAACTATTTAATATCCCATTTTGGATTGCTCAAATATGAATCAAATATAGTATGTCCAAAACTGAACTCCTGATCATTTCCTAATTTATTTATGCTAACTGAGTCTGCTTTTTGTGTTCCCCATCTTAATGACTATGATGCTCAAGCCTGAAAATAGAGATGGTATTTATTCTGTCCACAGAATTCTCCAGACAGGAATAGTGGAGTTGCTTGCCATTCCTTTCCCCAGGAGATCTTCTTGACCCAGGGGCTGAGCCCTGGTCTCTCACATCGCAGGCAGATTCCTTGATATTTGAGCCATGGGGCACTCCTGGTAACATCTTAATGACTATGACATCATCAGTTGCTCAAGCCTGAAGAAAGAGATGATAACTTCACTTTCCTACTACAGTATCATTCTATATGTCTCTTGCTTATTTTATTCCTATATCCATTTATACCCTGAAGCCACAATAATTTTTAAAGAATACAAATCAATTATGTCACTTCATTCCTTGAATTTTTCAATAGTTTTACTTGACTTTCAGGTTAAAGGAAAAAATCTGTAATATAGTGTAAAAATCATTCATGGCATCTTCCTGTCAAAACATTCCCCCTTGTTATCTGAATCATAGTCACACTGTCCATCTTTCTATATTTAAATCACATAATTTGAATTATTGTCCCTGGTAATTTTTAATCAGCATTAGTTTATACAATGAATCTGGAATACAGCATGTGATACAGATTCTTTTTATTGTTGTGTAATCATTTATTCTTTTACTGTACTATAATTTATCTGTTCCACTAAATTAGGATCATTAAAGTTGTTACTGCATTGAGATTCTGATGCATGTTAATGCTATAAGTGTTCCTATACATGTTTTGGATGCACAAAAACATGCTTCTCAATTGCCAGGTCATAGGTGTTACACATCTTCTGCTTCAGTAAATGAAAGGTAAAGTCAAAGTCACTCAGTTGTGCCCAACTCTGCAACCTTATGGACTATAGAGTGCATGGAATTCTCCAGGCCAGAATACTGAAGTAGGTAGCCTTTCCCTTCTCCAGGAGATCTTCCCAATCCAGGGATCAAACCCAGGTTTCCTGTATTGCAAGCAGAATTTTTTTTTTTTTTTTTTTACCAGTTGAGCCACCAGGTAAGCCTAAGAATACTGCAGAAGGAAGTCTCTCCCTTTTCCAGGAGATCTCCCCAACTCAGGAATCCAACTGGGGTCTCCTGCATTACAGATGGATTCTTTATCAGCTCAGATACCAGGGAAGACCCTCTGCTTCTGTAGACACCACTAAATACTTCCAAAATCAGTTATACTGTTTTATATAATCACTAGTAAAGTAGGAACATTTTTCCTTATCTACAGCCTTGCAAAATTTTGGAATTGTCAAGCTCTCCTCTTCCTTATATTCTTTTCCCTCTTCTTTCCCTTAATTCCATTATTTTCCCTTCTATTAGACTCTTCTTCCATCCAACCTTCCTTCCTTCCTCCCTCTCTCACTTTCTTCTTCTTTTCTTCCTTCCTTCCTTCCTTCTTTCCAGCTTTGCTGGTAGTACATATTTGTATATCATTATAGTAGTATTTGAATTGAGAAGAATGAAATTTTCTTTGAATTGTCATTCCTGGGTCCAATTGCACTTTTTTCCTGAAGAAGCAGATGTAGAAATTTCTGCATTTGGTGCTTTTCCAGAAATCCTGTCAAACTTTATCAGGCTGAATAAGATAAATCTTGCTTGAAATTCCTCTGCATTTTCTCTACAGTCATATCATAAATATCAGATTTTTTTCCCTTATTTGTCATTAAATTGTTCCCATTTTCATCCATGCTCCAAAAACCTATTTCAGTAGCTGCTAGAAATACATTATTTATTATTTTTAATTAACTTAATGTACATCTATTTCAATGAAGGGATGGGGGAAACAGAATTTTGTGACCCAAAGTATTTATACAAGGAGAAAGCAAGCAAGTTAAATCTATGACAAAATATTTATCAATTTCAACCTCTTACAAATATTTCTAGAAACAAAATGAAGCTCCATATAAAATCAGCTTGATACAATTTTTGCTTTCTAGGTCTTAGTTTTCTTACCTATGAGTTTAACTTTTTAAATTCATAGGTAAACTGTAATTCATAGGTTTAAACTGTAAGATAAATTACACAATATCAAATTAAAATATTTGTGCATGAATGAGATTGGACATGTATTTGTAGAAGCAATGGATGAAAGAAATGAAGCGAAGAAACAAGAATAGGGAGAGTAGAATTTCTGAGTCTAGTCACACTGGATCAGCCAATCACAGATGAAGGGAACTGAGAAACAAGAGTGCATCTTAACATTCCCCCAAACCAATGAGCTTGTGTTGTGCCCTGGGCCAATCTGCTCTCAGAAGCAGACAGATCAGGAGGCTGGGTGGGGCTCACAAGGAAGACCAGGGCTCCTGCTGCTTACACCTGCTTTTAACAAAACTTGCAGCTACACAAACAGATATCATGGTGCATCTAACTCTTGAGGAGAAAGCTACTGTCATTGCCTTGTGGAGCAAGATAAGGTTGGATAAAGTTGGTGCTGAAACACTAGGCAGGCAGGTATTCAGCTTACAAGGCAGGCTTAAGGAGAGTGAATGTCAGCTGGGCGAGTGGGGACAGAGCCGTCGCCTGAGATTCTGGCAGGCACTGATTCCCTCTGACCTTGTGCTGTTTTCACCCCTTAGGCTGCTGGTTGTCTACCCCTGGACTAAGAGGTTCTTTGAGCACTTTGGGGACTTGTCCTCTGCTGATGCTGTTATGGGCAACCCTAAAGTGAAGGCCCATGGCAAGAGGGTGCTAGATGCCTTCAGTGAAAGCCTGAAGCATCTCGACTACATCGAGGATTGCTTTGATGCACTGAGTAAGCTGCACTGTGAGAGGCTGCATGTGAATCCTGAGAATTTCAAGGTGAGTCTATGGGACCCTTAAAAGTTTTCCTTTTTTTGGTGGTCAAGCTCCTATCATGGGAGAGGGCTAAGCAGCAGGACACAGTTCAGAATGGAGAAGAGGTATTCTGAGTACATCACCATGAACTCCTCAGGACCAGTTAGTTCCTTTTACCTTCTTTGTTCTCAGCCATCATTTACTCTTATTCATTCTTGTTTTTCTCTGTTTGTTCTATGCAGTATCTTCTTTATATTTAAACCTTTTGAGTGTTTAAGTGTTAAGATTTTCTTCTTTTTAAGTCACTTAAAAATTTTGTCTCATGTTTTTCCCTTATCTCTTCCTTTCAAAACAACGAAGACAAAATGATGTATTGCTTCCTGATATAGTTCAAAAGAATAAAAAATGATAAGTTCTGAATTAAGACAGAAAGAGAGAAACATTTCTAAGTACAAATTCAGGCTGATATGGGTGGCTTCACATCAGTAGTAACAACTACACTTCAGACATCTTTCTGCTTATATTCTAGGGGCACAGCTTGGGATGAGGCTGAAATACTAAGTCCAAATTGGGTGCCTCTGCTAACAGTGTTCTTGTTTTTTATCTCTACCACACAGCTCCTGGGCGACATACTGGTGATTACACTGGCTCGATACTTTGGCAGGGAATTCACCCCAAAGTTGCAGGCTGCCTGTCAGAAGGTGGTGGCTGTTGTGGCTAATGCCCTCGCCCACAGATACCATTGAGATCCTGTCCAATTTCTTTTTTAAAAAATAATATTAATTTCTAATTGATGGTTGGTTTACAATACTGGTTTGATTGCTACCATACATTAAAATGAATCAATCATAGGTGTATATATGTCCCCTCCCACCTGAATCTCCCTCCCACCTCTGGCCATTCCCACCCCTCTAGGTTATTACAGAGCTCCCATTTTAATTCCTTGAGTTGATGCCTATTGTTATAGCTTATGTTGAATGGTGTCAGATTTGTGGCTTCCAGAGGAGACAGTTTTGATCCAGGGCCAGAGACAAGGCTTGATCACTCAGAGCTTTAGTGTGGCAGAAGTTTTATTACAATGCAAAAGGGACAGAGAAAGCTTCTGACACAGACATCAGAAAACCCACTTCCACAACATACATTTTAAAATACCAGGATTAGTCAGAAGGTTCTTAAGAAGGAGGTGGCATTACCAACTTGATGGACATGAGTTTGAGTAAACTCCAGGAGTTGGTGTTGGACAGGAAAAACAGACCCCTGAGCAAGATGAATTATTTTGTTGTGCAATCATTAGCTCTGGGTTTAAAGAAAGCTGATCTCAAAGATTGTTGTCATAACAACTCAGAGTTTAAGAAAAAATGTCTCATGTGACTAAGACAAAGTAATGTAGAAAAAAGTAATCTGCCCTTTTCTCCTGGAGAGTTCCAGATTCCTTATCAATCTACCTAAGAATTAACTGTCTCAACTGGAAGACCTTATTTCTCTATAGTCTTATATTTGTTAACAATTTAAATTTTTTAAAGTCATTTTTGAGTTACAATATTGTTTCTGTTGTTTTTTAATGTTCTGGTTTTTAGGCCACAAGGCATGGGGCTCCCTGAACAGAAATCAAACTCCCATCCCCTGCATTACACTAAGCCTTAAACACTAGACTGTGAGGGAAGTCCCAGTATTTCCCCAGATTTTATCTTCTGAACTTGAAGAAATAATGTCCACCCTCAACAATATGACTTCTTCCTAATAAAAAAACTTTCAACTCAGTGTCCTGATTCATTTTACTCATTTTTGTTGGTTGGTTTGTTTGTTTTTTCCTCTAAGGATATGGGAAAACCCCTGAGAATCTACAGATAGGGGGTCTTTGTGTCTTATACAGAGAGAACAAGGGAAATGAGAAAACGAAGGAGCCCATACACAGTCAGTAATGGACGACATTTCTGCCTCAAAGCCTAAGAACTATAAGAAGTTTTAAAATATAGTGAGGATACTAGCATTACAGGGGCTCATGGAAAACTTCAAATCAAACAGAAACTTCAGGCTAACACTCTGATCCATATCCACTAATTACTCAAGAAATAATGTGTTCAATCAGAGACATAATGATTGCTCAATAAACTGTTATTAACATTTCCTTTTTTCATACTTCTCTTGCCTGCATGTTGTAGGCAACAATGCTATGTTATATTAGATGTTCCCATTCCAATACACATTCTCCCTCTCCCACTTGCCCCAAAACACTTCCAAAATTAACTCCAAGCTCCCATTTCAGGCAAAGCTCAGTGCTCACATAACACTTGTTTGAATCTTTTGACCCTGCCATCAGTGAAATTTCCATTATTGCCTAAGGAAATCCTTCCAAACACTTCCACTCCACATTTTTCACATTTCTTCCTGTCTAGCAAACATCATGACAAACACTGGGCTGGAGGAAGCACAAGCTGGAATCAAGACTGCCAGGAGAAATATCAAAAGCCTCAGATATGCAGATAACACCACCCTTATGGCAGAAAGTGAAGAAGAACAAAAAGATCTCTTGAAGAAAGTGAAAGAGAAGAGTGAAAAATTTGGCTTAAACCTCAACATTCAGAAAACTAAGATCATGGCATCCAGTCCCATCACTTCATGGCAAATAGATGGGGAAACAGTAGGCATCACAGACTCAATGGACATGGGTTTGGCTGGACTCCGGGAGTTGGTGATGGACAGGGAGGCCTGGCGTGCTGTGGTTCATGGGATCGCAAAGAATTGGACACTACTGAACGACTGAACTGATACTGAACTGAGCATTCTCACTCTTTGTGTTGTGTAAGGGTTTGTGCCTTTTGTACTATCCTACAGGATTGCCATTTCTTATACAGTAGATCCTCCATAGACAGTAAATGTATGTTTATTAAGTGAAATAATCAATGAATGAACAGTTATTTCTTGTGTCAAAATACCTGGCAATAGAGGACAATCTGGAAAGTGCACAATTGCATATTGTTTCCTTGGTGTTAGTGCTACAATATACAATAAGGAAGCACACAAGAAAGTAAATCATTGATTAGATGTTTGCTTTTTGATTATAGGTAGTACAATATCTTTGGAAACTTTTTAAGTTTTCATTTTATACAGAGTATATCCAATTAAAAGTGTTGTGATAGTTCAGGTGCACAGCAAAGTAATGAACCATATATGTACATGTTTCCATTCTTCCCCAAACTCCCTCCCATCCAGGCTGGCACATATCATTGATCAGNCACAGCAAAGTAATGAACCATATATGTACATGTTTCCATTCTTCCCCAAACTCCCTCCCATCCAGGCTGGCACATATCATTGATCAGACTTTCCTGTGCTATACAGTAAGACCTTGTTGGTTATCCATTTTAAATACACTAGTGTGTACATGTCCATCCCAAACTCCCTATCCTTTGTGAAATTATTTTTGTCATATGTAAAATTGACTTCTGGAACCTACTAACTTGCATGCATTTCTTTAAATCTATATCATACTCCAGTTGACTAACTTTAAACTTGACTGCCTGAAACAGAACATATTGCTTCCTTCTATAAAAAGTATTTTTAGAATAATTCTATCTTACTACCAGGTTATAGACAGTTTACTTTTTCACCACTATATTTTGAATTGTCTGAAGGTAAATAAGTTTTTAAATATTTATTTGTTTCTTTTCATGTTTTTATACATAGTAGGCACAGAGAATTGTTTACACCCCAACACTATATTTAATAACCACAGGGTCACATCCCAGAAGCAAAGACATCTCAGGAAAATTTTAGGAAGTTTCCTTTCACACTCCTGAGCACAGAACAGTCATCATAAGAATTAAACATTAGGAGACAAAGAGATTTTCAAATGATTTGAAAGAAGGTAAGAGAAACTGTGAGTTTCACAATCTGGACTTAGATAAAGTTTAAACGGTTTTGTTGGTGTTGGTGTCTCCATGTTGGGACTGAGGAGGAGGTCAAGGGTTGGAAAGAGACTTGGCAACTTGTTATATGTTTTTACTCCTTGTTAAAGCAGAACTTCAGCAAAAAGTCTAAGAGTAAAATTAATTCCTTAATATTTGATTTTATTTGATAATTTACCCAATAATTACTTCTAGTCCCTCCTTATCATGTTGCTTTATAGATCATGTTCAGTATGTGTTAATGAAGATGGGGTATGTGTGGAAGAAAGAAAGATGGAAAGAGACCAGAGGCAAGGAGAGAAGGACAGTGACAGAGGGAGATACAGAGAGTCAGAGAGAAAGGGAGCGAAGAAGGGTGGTGGTGGGGAAGAAAGGAGAGGAGAAAGAGAAATGGAGTGAAGACGCGGGTGGGGGTGAGAGGAGAAGAGAGAGCGAGAAGTAAGTAATGCTGTGCATTGATTTCCATAATCATTTCAAAATCAGTCAATTGAATGTCATGAGAATTTAGGATGCTATTCTAGATTTTCCATCTCTTAAACCTTAGAGAAATGCCCTGAAAGTTGGCTTTGAGAATTAATGCCTTGTGTATTTGTCAAAGGTGCCACGATTCTGCCCTTCCAGTCATATAGCTTCAAATTTTACTTGAGAAAGACTGCCCCTTTGTTTTTGATAAGTCAATATCATAGCCCACTTTTGAGGTAAATAAAAGCTAATTCTGAATGAATTAAAACCTGAGCCCAGTGGGGGAAATATTAATATGGAATCGATAAAGAGATACTAACTGCTCTGTAATAATTAGGATATATTTTATCAAAATTATGGCTATATTGATTTTACTGTTTTTAGAGAGAAATTTGACCTTTTTAAACATGAGTTAAACTATACCATTCCTAAACTATTCTGTTTATGACATCTGTTTCCATGAGTTCTGTTCTTCAAGAATCATTTACTTTTTTTGTTGTTGTTTTCTTTCATTTTACTTTATTTTTGAAACAGTGCTAAAACTGAGGCAACTAAGATATTGTACATCTGGGGGAAAAGAGTAAATAATAACCACTTTATCTTGTAATAAATGTTAATGGAAAATAACTGAAGAAAATAGCTACTTTACCCAGAAAAATATGGATTATATTGCTGAAATATTCTACTTGGATAATTAAAAATTGATCAGCAGAGCATGCACAAAAGAATTCTAGCTGAGTGAAATTTCTGAACCAAATGATGAAACCACACATCTCTGAATGAAATGTCATGATTCTCCTGAAGAAAGTCAATATTCATCCTCTTAATTATACTCAGAATAGGCCCATCCTGGTATAGAATGTTAGGAATTAGGTCACCTTGCCAAACTGGAATAAAGGAAAAGAAGGAAAAAAAAAAAAGTCTGTCTCTCTGTCTGTGGACTTGTGTGAGTGTGTGCATGTGTGTGCATGCTCAACAGGGCTTTAATCAAAGTAGAGCAGACATGCTGTGGATCCCTTCACAGAGTCCAAGAAAGCTCATGATGGTGAAGGTGGTGGTGGGCCTAAGAAATATTCCATAACTTTTTAGTGGTGACCTGGATTTGCACTTTTTGCTCTGAACATAACCCCATTTGTATAACTATTCACTCTTCCTTATTTTTGCCTGAACTTTTGATGTCTTATAACAACTTTCAGACTTGTCCCTGCAGTTAGAAGGAAAAACCCATTTCACTCTTTAATCATACCAGGTAGCAAGCGTGAAAGACAACAACTCTTGCTCTGAGACTTGGATGATGGTGGCTGCAGCAGTCAGTACAAAAGAGGGGCTCATAGAGCATTCATGGCAAAGGAAGACATAAAAAACAAGACACAGTG